GGTCTTGAGCTCACTATGTAACCAGGAATTCCTTTGAACTCTCCTCTCCCCCCTGGAGCATGTCATACTCAGCTTCTGATCTCTTTTTTAAAATTATTACTTCTAGAAATTTAGGCCTGGGGTAAATGTGTTTTCTAGACTCATAAATCAGTACTGACAACTAAGTTCTCTCTCCTCCCTCCGTCCCCTCTCCTGTCTCTCTGCCTCCTTTACTCCCCAAAAAGATGGTACGAGAACAGTACACCACAGTCACGGAGGGTACCCACATCGAGCGGCCTGAGAACCAACATGTCTACAAGATCGGGATTTATGGCTGGAGGAAACGCTGCCTCTACCTCTTTGTTCTTCTCCTGCTCGCCACCCTGGTTGTGAATCTCGCTCTCACAATCTGGATTCTGAAAGTGATGTGGTTTTCTCCAGTGAGTATTGCCTTTTCCTGAGCATGCTCCAGATGTGCTGGATTACTGTCTTAATAATGCATGGATAGAGGTTTCCTGTCTTCATCAGGGTTTTCAGGAGATAATGGCATCATTCTCTGACTCATTGTAAACTATAGTGTGTTGATTTTTTTTTGGTCCTTATTGCATTGTATTTTTCATTAATCATTATCTCTATAGGGTAGGAAAATTCTAATCTTGAATTTATGGTTGATTGTGTCAAGATATCTTAATGGTCACTTGTAGAATATAGTCTATAGGACTATATAAATCAGTTTCCTAATGTTGTCAATCCTATATGTTTAGCATTTGTACACTTGCTCTCATCTAATTAAATTACTGGAATGAAATATCTAAGGCAGGTATATGTTTGCTTTTAAAGAAGAGAATTTTTGTATTTTATTTAGTTTTTTTGTTTATTTTTTCCTTTATTCTTGGTAATTTTATGCATGTGTACATTAAAATATGATCGTGTTTACCCCCATCCCCCCTTCAATTCTCCCCATATCTCTCTTAACAGATCCAACTCCCAATTTTATGTCATTCTTTTTAATAACTAATTCCAATGAGTGCTGTGCGCATGTGCCAGGGTGTGAGGCCATCCACCGGAGCTTGGGAAATCTAGCTACCAGCGGCCGCATCCTAAGAAGAGTGATTCTCTCTCCCTCTGCAGTTATCCACTGTCATAGCTCCCCAGTAAGGGCTGTGGCCCAGAGTTCATCTACCCATCCATGCCAGAATTTGGACTGGCTTGATCTTGGGCAGGTAACCACAGCTGCTGGGATGTCCTGAGTGCACCCACCACATCATGCCCCAAAGAACTTTCAAGCCTCTCCTCCCCCCACCTCCAGCTCTTACATTCTTCCTGCCACCCGTTCCTTGAAGGTCCCCAAGCCTTTTGGGGAGGGACTTTATAAAGATGGTCCATTTGGAGCTGATTGACTCCAATATAAAAAAAAAAGTGGTTTGTTTGGCTTTCACGTTTGGAGGGTTAAAGACTCAGGTTCAGCTCTGATGGGGACCTCAAGGTGCCTTCTGGGAATGCAAGAATTCATGTGTCAGGAAGAATCACAGCAGCAGGGCAAAAGCCAGCCAGACCAAGTGGGACCCAGCTGGGGCATTTATCACCCCTCTCCTATGAGAGCTAACCAGGGCCTCCAGACAAATATTGCAGGTACAGGGCCTTTTGCATGTTGGGCAAGTGCTCTACTATTAAGCTATGTCCCAAGAAGTCCTTGTTTTGTGCATTTGGGGATGGGGTTCTAAAATTAATGTAGAATACATTAATTCGGCAAGAGAGATCCAATGAGATAAAAATACTACTGCCAGGAACTTTCCAGTTTAGTCATTATGTTTTTCCCAGGCAGCTGAGGGTGTGATGTGTGCCCAGGCTCTTTCTAAGAATGATAGCTACAGTCTGAGGTTCAGTGTGAAATGCACTCAACGAACCCTGCATTTTCTGTGTCCTTATTTCTGGCCTGCCATGGTTCCCAATACCATTCATTACTCTCGTCATATAATAAACATTTGTATTTCCACATATTCTGGTAAAATACTCATAAAATTAAAATTATAGCTTGAAAAACATTATTGAATAATTTAGATAAAATACTATAAGTGTATTTACTATAAATATACTGTAAATTATTACTATAAATAATATGTAAGTAGAGGTTACAAATATGAGTGTGTTTAACATTAGGCAATATAGAATATAATTTCTGGGTCAGAATTTATAATGATAATATTTCTGTAGCGGTATGATGGTACTGGTACCAATGCCCAGCATTTCTTTATGAAGATAGGACATTGGACATATATTAGTTACTTTTCTGTTACTGTGATAAGACACCACGACCAAGGCAACTTATGGAAGAGTTGTAGCCACAGTCTAACTTCAGCTGGCCACGGAGCACTGAAGGTTGCTTTAAATGCTACCATACACAGCAAAGCCTACACCAGATGCACAATATCATGTCACAGCCATGCAGTTTATAGAACTCATTTGTACAGATTTCTAAGACAACGCAATCTCAGACAAAGAAGACAGCAGTGACTTCAGGTCCCCTTCATGCAAGGCACAGCCTACACTCTCAGCCACAGTTGATGCAC